CAGGTGTTTGCCCACCTCAGGACCCTTCCCAAAGCTGAGCCCAGCAGGGACATTCCTCCCCCAAAATGTTCCTGCTGAGCCAACAACAACACTGGTGATGACAATGGAAACGGGGCAGCACCTGGAAGGGATAAAACCCAGGGAAAAGTAGCTTGGAGAGGGAAAAGTGAGAGGGTGTTGGGCACGTGCAGCCACCACCTTGAGCTGGCTCGGTGCCTGAGCTGCAGAAAGCTGGGCTGCTGGCAGGGGTTCCTGCCCATGGAAAGAGGTAAAGTGAGATTTAAGGTCTTTTCCAACCCCAGACGCTCCAGGATTCCACGGTCAGGCTGAGGGATCCAGGATGGGACGCTCTGCCTGGAACGGGGAAAACAACCGGAGCAACGCCCTGGATTGCAAAGGGGACTGAAGGAGGGGGGTCAGGCTGGTGTGGGGGCTGAACAGAGCTGAAACCCACAGCAATCCCAGAGGGAACACACAATTCCCAGAGTGAAACACACAATTCCCAGAGTGAAACACACAATTCCCAAAGGGAAACACACAATTCCCAGAGTGAAACACACAATTCCCAGAGTGAAACACACAATTCCCAAAGGGAAACACACAATTCCCAGAGTGAAACACCCCAGGAGTGAGGTAGGACAGGGAGAAATCCCCGGATAAAGGAACCACCAATAATTTCTCCAAGGCTGGCCCAGCCTGGACCCCCCTGACTGACAGCCCAGCCCCTTCAACCTGCAAAGCTCAGCCCAAATTTTACCAGCAGGGACTTCCAACATCCCCTTTCCTGGGAATGTGAGTGGAGATTCCCTGCTGGAGCAGGGACACCCCTCAAGGTCACTCCCAAGAGCTTTGCCCGCTGTCCTCGGTCTGGGTGAGTGACGCCAATCTCTGCTCAGCAACTGCTTTTGCTTTCATCCAATTTTTAATATAATTGCTTCACTATTGCTTCCCAGTGCTCTTTATTTTAACAGCTGTTCCAGCTCCCACGCTGGGTAGTAAATAATTTTGTTTAAGACCTTTTTGCCTAATTTTTGTCCTAATAAATCATGTGTATTTCTATAAATATATATATTTATGTATGTATCTATAAAGATATCTGTACATCTTTTTGATATAAAAGCACATATAAATAAATACAGAAATATAAAAAATATAGATATAAATAATATATAACTATATATTACTATATATAGTTATATAACATATATATGTGTTATATATACATATATATATACATATATATATACATATATATATTACTATATATTACTATATATAGTTATATAACTTATATATTATATATTATATTTTATATTTTATATAGTATGTTATTATATATAGTGTATATATACTATATAACTATAACTATAACTATAACTATAACTATAACTATAAGTATAACTATAAATATAAATATAAATATAACTATAAATATAAATATAAATATAAATATAAATATAAATATAAATATAAATATAAATATAAATATAAATATAAATATAAATATTTGCCATCCTTGATCTTGTAGGACAAAGTTGTATAAAGGTTCAATGACAACCCTGTCCATAAACCCTTGACCAAGTCCGGGCTGGGATTGGATCCAGCACATTCCAAATCTCTCCCCCTCCAAAAAAATCCTCTTTTCAATGAGTTGTAAAAAAAATTGACTCTAAAATTTGGAAGATCTTTGTGAAAATTTCCAGTTGATGGATCAAATCCAATGGGAATGTGCATGGGATTAGCATGAAAAAATCTGGAATAATGGGATTTACTTAGGGGATCTATCTCATATTTAGGCCACTGGAATTGGCATTACAAGAGAGGCACAAAACGGCCCGGGACCATCAGACAGGGGGAGGAAGATAATGGGAAAATCCCATGGGATTCTGGGTGGGAAATGAGGTTCTTCGATCATTATCATGATTTAGGAAAGTCAGGAAAATTGAAACAAGAAGGACTCCTCTCTACCACAGAAATATTTTTAGTTTTGAGACTTTTTAGTGTGGCTAAAAATGATGACTAAGGATTCCAAATACAAAGCTGCCTAATAAGGCCCGAGAATAAATGGAAATAATTTGACATATTCACAGTAAAAGATGCATTTTGAGAATCTTTTCTACATTTATTTCTTCTAAGGAAGGTTGGTTTTTTCCATTTTTTTTTTTTTTAACACAGATTCTTTTCTTCAGGAAAACAAGACCTGTTTTTATCCTACAATGCAAAAATGGGACGTTCAGAGAATTTAAAACCCCTTAAAACAATTTTGTTTTTCAGACCTTTTTACGACGATCCAGGGAGGAATTCTGACCTCCACCAGCTGCCCTGAGCTGGATTTCTGGAGCAGAGCCAGCCCCAGCACAAACAGCTTCAATTTGAACAAAAATTTTAAAAAAAAATAAAAAATTTTAAAAAAATTGCTGATAAAAAACCATTTAATTAAAAAATTCCCAGGAAAACCTGTTGAGAAAATACCAATTTTTCCCACTCCAGTTGGGTGTGGAAAAGATAATGGAATATCCTCTGAAGGGCTGGTATCACCCCAGCACTGCATTTGGAGTTATTTATTATTTAGGAACTCAGGACACGTCTTTATAAAGCTCGTTATAAAGCACGATAAGAACCGTTAATTGCAAAATGTGCTGAAGGGCAAGAGAAGAACTTGCAAAAATTCAGTCCTACGTGGATGAAAACAGATTTGGTGAGGCTGAGATTGTGTGCACTGGAAAAATATGGATATTTTTGAGGTGGTTTTTTTTTTTTAAAGATACCTCCTGTCTCTCCTGCCCCTCATTCCACAACGTCACCCGATCCCAGCCGAGAATTCCCACAATGTCACCCTATCCTGGCCTTCTCCCCCTGCTCCTTTTACAGGCAGGAATGTCGAGTCCAGAGGTGTTGGAGGGAGCTGGATCCTGCTTATCCAAGGTCATGGAAGAGTCCTCCTCTCCAACTCTGGGAGTCCTTTCCAAACTATCCCAAAGCTGAATTCCTTCTAATCCAACTTCTTGATACAAATCATGGCTTTTTTTTTTTTTCCCCCTACCAGGATTTAAAATCAAAGATTTTCAAGGTTTTTGTGATTCCAGGCAGGGTTTCCTCTGCCAGAAATTCCCAGCTGTAGGATTTGATCCCGTGGAGAAGAGGGAAAGGATTTCCACACGGGATCTGCTGTGCTGAGCTCGGGGGGGACACCGAGACAGAGCAACTTATTCCTGTTCTTGTGCACTTTCCACGTTTTCCTGAAGGGAAAACTGGGGTTTGAGCAAAGAAGAGAAGGTCCAGGGACACTCAGCAGTTGGAATTGTTCAGTTTGGGGAAGAGAAGGATCCAGGGAGACCTGAGAGCCCCTCCCAGGGCCTAAAGGGGCTCCAGGAGAGCTGGAGAGGGACTGGGGACAAGGGATGGAGGGACAGGACACAGGGAATGGCTTTAAGATGAAGGAGAATAGATTTATATTGGATATTGGGAAGGAATTGTTGGTGGAGAGGGGCTGGAATGGATTTCCCAGAGAAGCTGTGGCTGCCCCTGGATCTCTGGAAGTGTCCAAGGCCAGGTTGGAGCACCCTGGGCTGGTGGAAGGTGTCCCTGCCCATGGCAGGGGGTGGCACTGGATGATCTTCAAGGTCCCTTCCAGCCAAACCATTCCATGATTCCCTAATTCTCTGATTCTACAATTATTTGGTCCAAATCCCCATTAAAAGGAAAGCTGGGAGATGCTGCAAAGCTCCTCTTCTCTTCCCCAAGGGCAAAGCCTCTTCCCCAAGGACAATTCCCAAAGAGCAACGCCCTGCAAAGAAATCCTACTGTGTCTTGCAGTGTCTATCCCTCATTTACTGTGGGAAAGCTGCTCCTGGATCTCTGGAATTGCCTGGGAATGGTGCACAGGGAGCAACTGCTCATTTTCACATCTTTATTTCCTTATTGCATTTTAGAAGTCAAAAGGTCACCCTTTGAGGGGCCATTTCACGGGCATCTGCACAGGAATATAGAATTTCCTTTTGCCTTATCATTTTCAGGGAGAAATTTCTCAGATCTCCACTAAAAGTTCGATTCCCATGGGAAAAAGAAAAAGTGCCTTTGAAAGGGAAACTGATCTCCAGCATCATTTCACTGGAATTCCCTAATTCCTGGCTTTAAAACCTGGAGTGTTTCCTAAACATTTGCAGTTCCCTGTCAATGGGGGGTTCACTGAGAGGGCGATTTAATTAATTAATTTCATCTAATTCTAAGTGGACATCCAAAATCCTAAAGGGCAAATTAATTACTTAATCAAATCCCAAATTAGGCAAGTCAGGATTAGAGGAGGGACCCCAAATTCTCTTAAAACCTATTTCTGAAATGACCCTGGAAAGGAGGAGGAGAAGAAGGAGAAGGAGAAGAGAAGGAGAAGGAGAAGGAGAAGGAGAAGGAGAAGGAGAAGGAGAAGGAGAAGGAGAAGGAGAAGGAGAAGGAGAAGGAGAAGGAGAAGGAGAAGGAGGAGGAGGAGGAGAAGGAGAAGGAGAAGGAGGAGGAGGAGGGAGAAGGAGAAGGAGAAGGAGAAGGAGGCTCATGCCCTTTGGAGGAATCCTTGGGGCAGGACCTGGAAGCAGCAGGTCATTCAGGAACTCTGGATTTTTGCCCCAGTTTCCCTCTGCCTTCCAAAACACACAGTTCCCTTGTGTTGGGTTTTTCTGGAAAACCAAAGGGAGTTTTCCTGACTCACTTCCAGGAAGCCCCAGGCTGTTGCTGTCAGCCCAAGTGATGCATTCCAGGCCAAGAGAAATTAATTCCAAGCCCATGATCCAGCCCTGGCCCTTGGATAGTCAGTGGTCAGTCCCAAGCACAGTCAGACCTTCCCGCAATTTCCCAGGGGAGGAACAACAAGTGTCCTGCTTGTTGGGATCAGTGGGAATCAGCCTCATTCTCTGCTCAGATCCACCAGCTGATTGTGGGGAATGTCCTCTCCCAGCATCCCAAACCCCCCCACCCCAGCCTGTTCCCCGGCTTAGAGCAGACCCTACCTTGACCGAAGCCGGGTTGAACTCCACTTCTTTTTTGGGTTCTGGTTCCGCCGGTTTAGGCGCCGGTTTGGGTTCTTCCTTCTTAGGCTCGGCCTTCTTAGGCTCGGGCTTCTTGGGAGCCATCCCGGGGCCGGTTTGGGAAGGGCCGGGAGTTGAGGGATGGAGGCGGGGAGGAGATGCTGCCGCAGGATGAACCCCGGGCACACGCGGGGCTTTATCCCTGTCCCCTCCTGGAGTGGCCGCCACCCCGTCACATGCCCGGCCTCACAAAGGGGGCACTGCTATAAAAGGACAAGACACTGCCCCGGCTATTTTGGAGCCCCCCGGCCCCGGCATTGTTCCCAATTAGCGCGTAAATGGAAAGAGGATTCGGGGGCTTGAGCGGGGGCTCAAGACATTTTTGGTGCGCTGGCTGGGGGGGGGGGAAGGTCGGGTTTATCCTCCCCAGGGGCCATCCTGCCACTGCCATTCCCACCGCGGGGCTTTTTTTTTCCAGCCTGGCTGGCACCCCTGGCCTTTGTCGTGCAGCGGCACGGCCGGAGATAAGCCCGGGTTTATATTTAGAGCTGAGGATGCGGCTCCACGGGAGGCTGAGCATCCGCCCATCGGCTGGTGAGGAATTCCCGGCTCGGGTTAACACACGCGGCTCTTCTTTTCCCCGGGAAGGTGCCCGGCACCCAGAATTCCTCCTAGGAAAACCTAAGGGGCAGGGAAGGCACCGCGCGGGCTGAGATTTTCCAGCCTTTTTTTAGGGATTGGAGTGCCAAATTCCTATCAAAAGAAGGGAGATAAGGGTGTCCGTTTGAAGCTTCTCTAATCAATACTGATGTAATTAATTTACCCTAATACACAATATCAATCTACGTATTATTAACCTAAATAATCTATAACATTACTCTAACCAATACTAATCTAATTAATCTGATTTTATTCAATACTTTGATGGAACAAATTCCCCTCCCCCTTCAAGCAAAATGGAGTTAATAATTCTCAGGTCTGCTTTCACTGGTGTCATTTTTCTCTCTCAGGAGGTCACTGAGACACGGTCACTTCCACATTAGTTGGATTGGTTTGATTTTCCAGAAAAAAAAGCCACCATCTCCTGTAACAAATCAACCCCCCACCAAATCACAACCTATTTGTAAAGGGGATCTGGGCTGGCACTTCAAATAAATATCAGTTGAATCATAAACCTCTTGTGGTGTCATCCTGAAAACCTTCAATCCAAACCCCTCTGAAGAGCTGCTTTTCCTGGCTCTGCTCCCAGCTGGACCCCTCAGTACCTTCCTCTGGATCTCCTCAGCTACCTGGGTGAATTTGCTGGAAAATTCCTGCTTTTTCCTGCCCAGCTGCTCTCAAATTATGGCCAATCCATTACTGGCAGTTGGAGATGTTCATCTCAATGTTATATTGAGAGAATTGCCAAATATTATCTCAAAGTATATATTTGATGGGTTCCTGATTAAATGTATTCCTGATCCAGCTGGCAGAACGGATCCTTTGCACTTCCAGCAAGATCCAAATGGTTCCAGTGTCCTGACACTCCCTGCAAAGTCCCTTCTGCTTGGATTGGGGACTTCTGGGAATGCTAAATCCCAGTCAAACACTCTGGGATTTTATTCCCTCTCCTACCTGTCTGTTCCTCTTTTAGGCCCTTGGGAATCACCTCTGGAATTCTGGGTGTTCCTCTCTGTCCATCTGGCCTGGAGCAGATGATCCCAGCACGTCAGACCCTTTCCCACAGCTCCAGGGGAATTCCCAAGAATCCATCAGAGGGAAAGTGGAGATGGGATATTGGGAAGGAATTCCTGCCTGGGAGGGTGGGGAGGGGCTGGAATGGATTGCCCAGAGAAGCTGTGGCTACCCCTGGATCCCTGGGAGTGTCCAAGGCCAGGTTGGAGCAACCTGGGACAGTGGGAGGTGTCCCTGCCCATGGCACTGGATGATCCTAAAGTTCCTTCCCAACCCAAACCATTCCAGGATTCTCAGAACTGCTGCTATTTAAGCTCAGCTTTATTTAAATCCATCATTTCAGTTTGAAAACTGTCCCATGGAGAGTCTGAAGTGCCTGTAACCACTGGGTGGATTTCTTGGATCAATTCCATGGATTAAAGATATCCCAGTGCCCTCAAATCCTTCTGTAAACAGCCAGATCAGAGCAGTTAATCTTGCCCTAAATCCCTCATTCATCCCTTCCCTGAGGATTCCCTGGAGTGCCAGCAGCTCCAAAAAAAATGCAGGAGCAAAAAATCCCTCTCCCTATTAATGGGTTTTGGAGGGCAGGGAATGGGGGGGAGGCTCTTCCACATTTCAGTCACGCTCCAAGCAGATGTCAACAGCAGATCCCGGTGCCAAGAAGTGATTCCAGAGGCTGGGCTGGCTGGGAATTGTCTAAAATTCCTTTGGTCATTGGGGTATGAGGAGATTCTCCTGAGAGGTGGACAAGGATCATCTTCAAAGAGAACAAGACCGGACATTGCCCACCCAACCCACCCAAACCAAACCCAACCACTGGATCGAAGGGAAAAAAAAATAAAGGATTGGAATTGAAGGGAAAAACAAAATATTTGGGCCGGGAATCGGCATCACTGCAAATTTGGGAATGCTGCCACAGTGCCTTGTGATCCTCTGCTCCTCCATAAGTCTGGCCATGTGCAGTGGAACGCTGGAATGTCTGCGGGAATCAGGAGACCAGCCCAGGTTGGGAGGGACCTCAGAGGGTCGTCTGGTGCAACATTTCACAGGGGAGGGAACCTGGCTGAGATTCTTGTTGTTATTATTGTTATTATTATTATTATTGTTATTATTATTATTATTATGATGGAGAATGGGACTCAAACCACCTTTTTTCTGAGGAAAACGACGAACTCATCGCTCTTCCCAGATTTCACTTCCCAACACGAGTTGGGATTCAATCTCACCACAAGCCTCGGATTCTTTTCAGACACGGGGTTTCTCCAGCCCCTTCCCCCTCTGAAATATGTTTTTTTTTGGGGGGGTGTTTTTTTATTTTCCTGTTAAAAATAAATCAGGAGTGCTGGTGCAACTCTTCCCACCGAGGAACGCTGGCCTTGGGTTGGGACACGGCCTCAGCTCGAGCATCATCCCCAGAGAACGGGCTGGGAGAGGGGGAGAAAAGAAGGGTTTGGAGAAGGTTTGCAGGCAGAAAAGCAGATTTTCAGCTCCTCAGCCCCCAAAACCACCCCTGCTCGGCTGTTCCTCCCCCTCCCAGCTGCAGCAGTTCAGGATAAAATAAAAGAGAAATAATTTAAAAAAAAATTAAAAATAATAAACACATTTAGAAAATCAAGTGGGGAATCGGCAAGAAACCTCCATTTCTCGCCCTGGTTTGGTCACCTCTAGGTCTTCCAGAATTTTGGGATAGTTTGGGATATTTTGGGATGGTTTTCCATCCATCTCCTGCCACCCGAGGAGTTAAAACAGGACAAGAAGAAATAGAGAAATAATTAAAAAGGAAATCAGGTGGGGAATTGAAAAGAAACCTCCAGTTCTCTCCTTATTTCTGTCAGCTGTGGATCTTGTAGAGTTTGGGATATTTTGGGATGGTTTGGGATGGTTTTCCATCCATCTCTCGACACCTGAGGGGTTCAAATGGGACAAGTTGAAAAAAAAAGAGAGAAATAATTGAAAATAAAAAGGAAACCAGACAGGGAATTTAGAAGAAAATTCCATTTCTCTTCTTATTTTTGTCCTCTGTAGGTCTTGTAGAGTTTGGGATATTTTGGGATGGCTTTCCATCCACCTCTTGACACCTGAGGGGTTAAAACAGGAGAAGAAAAATAAGAAAAATAATTAAAAAAAAAAAAAAAAAGGAACCAGATGGAGAATTTACAAGAAATCTCACCTTATTTTTGTCACCTGTAGGTCTGGTAGAGTTTGGGATATTTTTGGATAGTTTTTTGATGAATTTCCATCCACCTCTCGACACCTGAGGGGTTAAAACAGGACACGGAAAAAAAAAGAGAAATAATTAAAAAGAAAAAGGAAACCAGATGGGGAATTTAGAAGAAACCTCCATTTCTCTCCTTATTTCTGTCACCTGTAGGTCTTGTAGAGTTTGGGGTATTTTGGGATGGTTTGAGATGCTTTTTACATCCATCTCCTGACACTTGAGGGGTTAAAACATGACCAAAAAAAAAAAAAAACACCAAAAAAACACACAAAAAAACCCAAATAAACAAAAAACCCCAAACAAAAAAACAAACAAACAAAAAACCCACAAAACAAAACAAAAACACAAAAACCCAGAAATAATTACAAATAAACAAAGGAAACCAGATGGGGAATTGAAAAGAAACCTCCATTTCTCACCCGGCTTTTGTCACCTGTAGGTCTTCTGTAGTTTGGAATATTTTGGGATAGTTTTGGATGGATTTCCATCCACCTCTTGAGGGGTTCAAACGGGACAAGAGGAAAACCAGAAATTATTAAGAAAAGAAAGAAAACCAGAGGGAGAATTGCCAAGAAACCTCCATTTCTGCCCTTCTTTTTGTCAGATCTGCAGATCTGGTCGAATCTTGGATGTTCTGGGATGGTTTTCCATCCATCTCTTGACACCTGAGGGGTTCCAACGGGACAAGGAGGTGCTGGGAGGAAGCACAGATGGGGTTGTACCCACGTGGAGAGACAGGGATGTGGTGGGAAAACTGCTCTGCTGGGAAGGTGGAGACAGAAATCAAGGGAAAAAAATGTGAATTTCCACCAGGTGAAACCTGCAGCTCCCACATTCCAGGGGGTGTTCATCCCCCCACTATTCCCCCTGCTCCCCCTTGGAATGTCAGCTCCAAAGGAGAGCCCAAACTCTGCAGCTGCTCTAAATTCTTCCAAAACTTCAAGGGGAAAAGGCTGATTTATTCCAGCTGGGAAGATGGACCAGAATAGGGGATGGTCTGGCAACATCCATCCTCTGCCTGCTGACTGCTGGGAGCAGGAGAACACATGTTTGCTGCTCATCAGCACGAGAAACGGGAGGGAAAAACATCTTTTATGTAGAAAATATCACATCTAGGAGACCAAGCAGCGGGAATGTGCTCCTGGGATTTAGGAGAAAATGGGTTCCTGATGGATCCCGAGGCTGTGGAGGGACCATGAGGGACACAAGG